TGATGATGATCCTACTCCTCATAAGGCTTCTGCTTCTACCCAAATGTACTGCTACTGCTGCAGCTACTGCTGCTACTACTACTACTACTACAACTACTTCTACTACTACTACTACTACTACTACTACTTTCTACTACCACTTTCTACTACGACTTTCTACTACTACTACTACTACTACTACCACTACTACTACTACTACTACTACTACTACTGCTCCTACTACTACTACTGCTGCTGCTGCTGCTGCTGCTACTGCTACTGATACTTCTACTGCTACTACTGCTACTACTGCTACTACTGCTACTAGTACTACTACTTCCACCACCACTACCATTACTACCGCTTCTACTACTTCTACTACTTCTACATCTACATCTACTTCTACTTACACTACTACTACAGTGGTGCTCGCAAATTCGGGTACTGCTATCTGATTTCTGACGCTTGCCCACTTGGTCCACTTCAACCTCCCCGAATACTGCCACCGCGTAATACCCAACTTGAACCACCTGTACCACTTGAGCTGGCTGTTTTGCGCCACCTGTACCCTTGGTACCACTTGTACCGCTTTGGTCACTTGTAGCACTCGTGCCACTTGTCCCAAAATGCCAGCCTTCCGTCTTTCCTTCCCTTTCCTGGTGCCTCTCGCACTAAGCCCTAATCCCCAACCCGAGACCCTAAAACTTTACCCTAATCGTTAACCCCTAAACCCCAAAACCCTGACCCCCAAACCCCAAACCAAGCAAGTGGCACAAGTGCACAAGTGTTCAAGTGCCTAAAGTGACCCCCAAGTGCCCCCTAATCCCCTCCGAACTCGTAGCGTTGTCCAATTCTCCAATGGGGGAAGATGGACCTACCCCTTGAACACGCGTAGCGTTGCGCAGAATTTCAGTGGCGCAGTGTGTCAACTGGTACGCTTTCACGAGCAGATACCGAATCCAAAGGCAATGCACTACCACCACCACCATCACCACCACCACCAACACCACCACCGCCATTCCTTGCACCACTACTACTGCTGCTGCTGCTACTGCAACTGCTACTGCTACGACTACGACTACGACTACGATTGTCAGAAACAAACCTTTACGAGTACAACGCAGCTGTTTCTCTGCACTGCTGCACAACGCCTCGACGAAAATCTGATGTTTTTGGAAACGAGACGGATCTGACAGCTCAGACCGTCAGTGCGACCGCTTTGCAAAACTTTTCCGGGTTTGTGTCTGGGCCATGCACAGGGCTTGCTGCGCAACCTGCAGCGCTTGCGCATGGCTATCCTGCCAAGGCAACCAGCTCGCGTTTTTTTCTGTACAGACCTTCCGTGTGAATGCGAACGAATCCAGACATGCTTTCCGTAAACCACAAGGGGGCATGAGGAGCCACTTGGCTCGTCGAGAACGCCACCCGTGCCAGTGCCAGTGTCGAGATAGACTGCAGTCGAACACATGTTTCTCGGCCCTGGTAGTAGTGACACGTTGTTCTGGAGTGGCAGAATGAGAATTCAACTTCATAGGACACATGGCGAAGCAGTCCATTGCCAAATAGATCTCTGCCGAAGCCAGCTGCATGATGGCCTCACACAGAAAGAAGCGTGACAACAATGCTGCCTGTGTCGTGCGCATCCTCGGAACCCACCTTCGCGACGATTTCGCCGTGCTTTTCAAAAGTGAAGATTTCGCTGTTTGCAGCCTGTTTGTTGGTTGCATGTCAGGGACTAGAGACTTCCAAGCACTCTTCAGCTCTGGAGCCTGCAGCGCCTGTTCGAGGACCTTGGTGTGAGGTACGACAAGTGCGGGCGCCCAATATCTCACATGTCCACCAGGCCTCGATGTCTGGCAATCCATCGAAGCCCTTTTCCTCTGCTGCTTTGATCCGTGCCTCCGTCGCTGAGATTCCACAAGGCAAGGGCGCATGCAGCTCTTGCACTTCTGCTGCTCATTGAGGTGTGCTGCGACGAAAGTAATCCTCGCGGATGCCCGCATCTGAAGTTCGACTTGTTGATGCGGAGAAATAACATGCGAACCAACCCTGCAACCCGTACGGGCGCCCGAAGAAGCAGAACTTTGTCACTCCAAACAGGAGTGGCAGTCTGGAGAATCTCCAGGGGCCCAGCATGGCCCGGCCGACTTTCGTTGCTGCTCTCACAAATGTAGCAGAAGTAAAATCAAGCAAACCGAGAAAATCAGGAGAAAACAAAGTCGTCTTACCCTGGGCCTTGGTGACCACCCGGAGAGCATCCGCTTCTCTCTCTGCCTTCCCTTCCTTTGCCTTGGCGCGCCGACCGCCCAATAGCACCCCAGAGACTCGATGGATCCAAGATCTCGTGAACGTCTAAAACGCTTCGAGGTGCTGCCTGCCGCTGAACCTGTCACAAAAAAGCAGGGAGGGGAGAGGTGCCGCTTCTGCTGCTAGCTGCTCACCCCTCGCCTCTCCAGCCAACAGCTCAGCCTCCTCAAAGTGGCCGTCCTGATGGCGATGCATGCGCTGCACTCCGGATCGCTTCAGCAGTGCATTCCCCCAAAGGTTCCACTCTGGCCCTAAATCCAAGGATCCGACTTCCAAAATGTCCAGAGCATCGTCCAAGTCATCTTTGCCCCTGAAAGATTGGTGTTTGAAGATTGCGCTTGTTTGCAGGGCCCAGCATGCCGAGTACCCTGCTCAATTCGATCAACCGACAACTCTGCGGGCGCAGGGTTTGCCGGTGTCGAAGTGGCTTTGGCAATGTCTACCTTCTCGGGACGCAGCGGAAGAGTTGATCCACGCGAAGTTCCCACATAATTCTGTTCACACGCCCCAACCTTGGGTGCCGGAATGGAAGGTGCGCCACTTCCGAGTCCAGTCGGGCCTTCGCTCGTTTGCAACCGACTCTTCTTCCGGCTTCTGACTCTGAGCACTGGCCTCTGCTAGGTGGACCTTGGCAGCCGACGGTGGCGGTACACCACCGAGAAGCCGAGCCAAGCATGTACAATCTAAGGGTCGCACTGGAGGGCGGCTTTTGACTGACCTCTTCCCTCGGCGCTCTCGCCACTTTGGAATCTGCAGTTGTTTCAGTGGTCTTCGCCGGCTTCGCTGCCGGCACCTGGCTTGACACTCAGCCGCTCCAGTTCTGAAGTAGCTGAGGATTTGCGAGCCCTTCAGGCCTCCTCTTGCCGAGGAGGAGGTTCTACCTTTTGCGACGGCGCTGCACTGCCTCTCGAGAAATTCAGAAACAGAGGTGTCATCAAGTTTTGCGCAAGCCCTTCTACCGTGCACTTCTGGCGTGCTCATGCGATCCGTCTTGTATGTCTAGCAGTTGCAAGTGGTTGACAATCGATTCTTGGTGCTGGGCTGATCAAAGGCGGCAGCTCGTCATCGTCGTCGTCCTCCTGCGCCTTCTGCGCTTCCTGGCTCCAGAGGTCCGACACTCACAACACTGCCGACAAGCAGTTCGACCAGCGGGACAGCCATATGCCTGGCCTTGGAAAAGGACGGAGCTTTGTCCTGCACTCGGTCTTTACTGTATAAACGTTATGCCAGAAGCAGCCATGACTGGGGTGTAGGTGTTGTTTTGCGGCATCCGCAGGCCGCGGCCGCAGCCTGCGGGGCTGGGGCTGCTGCGGGCCAAAACGCAAAAAGAAGATGTTGGCTGGAAACCTCCAAACCCTGAACGATGATGTGGTGTTCCTTGCCCACCGCAAGAAAAGCAAGAACCGGAAAGGAGATGTTGCCAACACCGAAACCGTAAACGAAGCTGTTGGTTGCCATGCACAAAACCCGACAAGGAGATGTTGGCTGGGAAACCCCAAACCCTGAACGATGATGAGGTGTTCGTTGCTCACCGCAAGAAAAGCAAGAACCGGAAAGGAGATGTTGCCAACAC